CAACATACCTGTGAAAAAAGTCTTCTCCCAAATGCCAGAGAGTTAGTGGTTGGCTTTTGTTTTGAAGCATGGGGGGTTGATATTACTTATAAATTTTACCCTACTTAGTATAATTGACAATATCGTATAAACTCCTAATCCTTTTTTGAACCCTACTATGCTCTTTTGTCTTAATAGACAGCATCTTCCATACGGTAATTATACTTTATACAAAATGTTTCCTTCTACATCAGTTTTAGATTAGTTTTGTTGGCTTGTCTATGCAATTCTTTTTAACTTGTCTTCACTGCTTTTTAGTTCAGTAACATAATGGGGCACGTGGTTCAATGTTCTGTATTTTAACAGTGCAGAAGAGGACCCTTCATCATCTGCTTTTGGTACTGCAGCACCCTCTAGGAGTTTTCAGCAGGTCTCCCATAGTGTTTTTCTCTGCTAGGCTTGTAGTTATTATAACTACATTCTTCTTCTTGAAAGATGTAGTCATGACCTCCCAACAAGAATTACACAGACTTTTCAATAGTATTCACTTTCAATTCATCTGTCCAGCTATGAGACTATCAGGATTAATTTACCTTTGCAAGGGCTCCATCTTTATTTCAAGACTTGTCTACGGAGTTACTCTGTCTTAAAAAAAACAACAACCCATCCATTTATATTTAAAATATAGTAAAAGGCCAGGTAAAACTTGTTCCGTTGCAGGCAGGGACACAGACTGTCACCCCCAGGGTAGGACCCAAATGAGACAGTGAGAGGGGCAATCTTAGGCAGGCTGCCAGCTCTGAATTCACCGTCACTGAAAAATAAATAAATACTCAGAATCTGGCCGCTTCTTGGTCCCAATCCCGCTCCCATTGGCATGCATGGGCATTTTGCTATTGACTGTTACGTGAGCAGGAGCAGACAATGGTAGGCAATGCAAGAGGCATGCGTTTGCCTAGGTTTTTCGTCTTCTTTTTTACTGACTGTAGGAGTTGAGATTCACCTTACAGTAAGTCTCCCAGCAGATACTGCCCAGGATCTGGTACCTCAGGGAGTTTGCTTGGGTCATTGCTGGGGAGTCCAGGGTATGTGCCTGTGACTTTCAGTAAATGTATCTCTGTGATCGAGTGTATGTAAAAGGCACCCCAATGCTCTGGTGATGGGAGCATTCAGTGCATGTCGTGACAATGAGAACTCTGAGCCCTCTCTGGAGCAGGCAGCACACATGCACTATCCCCGTCTCAATATGCACACACACGTTTGCTCATTAATCCAAATTCTGGGCCCATTCTGTTCAATGGGCGCTTCGTGACAGACCCCAAGATTTGGCACATTGTGGAGATCACAGAAAGCTACGTTTCTTTCCATCCTGTGGGCCAGCTCACTGGCTCCACTTGGCTCTTTGCACCATTCAAGCGCTACAAAGAGAGTGGAAACCTCCCTCGAGACACGTGCCAGGGACTGCCTTCAGATGAAGGGAGCCCCCAACAGGCACAGGGCCAGCATAGCTAGCTCCTGCCCCCACCCCCTCACAGCCCTACTGCAGGGCATGTGTTGGGGCAGGGATAGTGGCCAGAACAGGATGTGCTCTGGCTATCTCCATCTGGTGTATAGCTAGGAAAGTTTAGAGCAGCACCAATGTTGCTGAAAACCTGCACCCCAGAGAGAGAGAGAGAATCAGAGAGCTGTAACCAGCTCCCTATTAGCCCCAACTCTGCTTCTATCAGGTTTTTATTCTTATCTACTTTGAAAGAGACAAACAGGGTAAAGGGAACTAGATTTATGGCTAAGGTTATGAATTGGGACACATGGCTTCATTTTTTCACTGAACATATTTAGGTTTACTATAAAGTACACTTTTAAAGTATATATTCATTTCACAATTCAGCTTTTTATTAAACCTACCTTTGGTACAATGAAGATTATTCCTGTAACTAGTTTATGCATGTTTTTAAACAGAAATAAAAAATGGGCTTCTGCGTATTTCTATACATTTGGTTTGGTGCAGAGAAAGTGTAGTCTTTTAACAGTATTTGCTTTTAGGGGAAGTGGCCCTCTGGCAGAAACATATAACCTACAACCCTGAACCCTAAATTTTTCAGATTTCTAGCTTTAGGCCCTAGTGCAGAAAACTAATCCCCACCGTTAACTACCGTAATTACATTTAGTTGTCCTTTAAAATGGTTCCATTATCACTCAACACATCAATAGATTATTTGCAGATAGAGAAGGATTCTGGAATTGCAATCCAATATTACCTGGAACTGAAGAAACGGGTGCAAGCACAGAAATTGGGGACAGAGGACGTTTTAGGAGAGGATTTTTAAATATGAGGCACATGTGTTATCATTGGGAAAATTGAACAAATAAAGGGATTCTTTTGGCTATAAAAGTTTTCACTGATAATCTACATTAAAAAAAAACTATACAAAGTAGTTATTGCTAAGAAATATTAGAATCCGGCTGATATGTTAAGGACATTAGAAACTTCTCTAATTACAGTCAAAAAATCAAATTAAGAGGAACAAATCAAAATCCCATTACTGTACAATGGTAGCTTAAGCAGCAAGCTGAAAATCTGATTCATGCTAACACACCAAGTCAGTTCCTCTGCTACTTGGAAACTTTAACAGTGTAAATGTTTATGATTACTTTGTATGGGTTCTTAACCCCAGAGATGATTAGTATCTTGGTTTTAGTGCTTGTCATGCATTAGCCGTAATTAGCCATTTATCTTTTAGTGAGTATCTTAGATTTCATTTATCAAGAAACCTGTTCAAGAGAACTTGTCCAAATCAAAAGATACAGTATGTCTTAGTCCTTGCTATATACTCTCTTCTGTGCAATATATTGCAAGCATAAAGGTGAAAGCACCAATTAATTTCTTCTGCATGAGATGTTTTGGCCTTAATAAATCTTCTAATTAACATGTCTTCCTGATGTTATGGAGCAGGCACTGGGAAGACTAAAAAAGCTACAGAAAGAACAAGAGAGAGTCAATATTTAAGTTGCAGGTAAATTGCATCAAGTGTAGAGAGCACAAAAGGTCAAAGTAGCACAAAACCTAAAGTTGCACATAGGCTGGTAACATGCAGCGCTAGGCATGCACAAGGCACACCTGACTTGAACGGTGACATATTTGCGGAAGATTTCATATTGGAACTGGGATTTTTAAATCAACTGGTAATGCTGGAGAAATGTGACCATCATCACACTGAAAAGAATCTCCAAAATAAAGATATCCCACAGAGACAGAAGGAAAGTGGAGCCCATCTCCCTTGTACTCAAGTTTAACCATAATGGAGGACCTCTGGAGACTAGCTAGATCAATGAAAAAAACAATTTTCTAAGATTAAATACCAAGAGGCCAAACCTGTCTGTGCCTTAGAGACTCTATACACTTAACCACTACACAAACCTCCCTCTTAAATATCACAAACCTGGGAGGCAAGAAATCTGGGTTTTGCTGCAGAGCCAGATATAGGTTTGCTGTGTGACCCTAGGGACCAGTTGCTTGATCTCTTGTTTTCTATCTTCCCCAATCTCTAAAGTGCCGATGATACTTACCTCATCTGGGTGTAGTGAGGCTTAACATTCACTAATGTTTATAAAAAAGCTTTGAAATCCTTCAAAGATGGTATAGAAATGCAAAATATTATTATAAAGATTACTTCTGTGGGAGAGAGAAGCCACCCTGAGAAATATTTTACCAGGTCACAAAGTGTTCACCGTTAATTATTACCAGTGCAGCTACCAAAGAACTATGTACCCTCTTCCGTCACCCTCTTTACACAGAGACTTTATAGGGCAAAGTTCCTTTAAATTCCAGTTTAGGATGTGATTAAGTCACATTTGCTGCCACTTCCATCTGCTTGGGATTCTGTGGGAAGTGTACTCATCTAATTTGAATAACTCCAACACTTAACAATTCCTAACTCTATGATCCAGGCTGGGCTCCCAGGCCGGATTGCAATAGTATCATCAAGGCCATCAAAGGTTGGTCAATGGTCATCTGCACACAGCACACACCTTCCTTCTTTCACTCATATCCATTCAAATCCCCAAAGCACCAATTATTATGGAACACTTTTTATTTTTAAAGGTCAGAACAGCTTTGGCCAAAAACACAACAGGAGCAAGTGTCGCATGTTAAGGTCAAATTCTGCCTGAGGCTGGAATTAAGGTTGTTACTTATTAAGTCCAACCATAATTTCTGAGTCCAGTAGCTTAGGACAAACAGACCGAGACGCTAATTCCTCAAGTTATACTTGATTTAAGAGTTAGCAGGGTCCCATGGAAGATACATTCAGAAAAGGACTCCAGTTAGATTTTTAATTAACAAGTCTCTCCAAAATAATTTTGTGCATTTGTTTTCTAGGGTTGCTGAGTGAACTAAGGGCACATTGTGCCCCTGTATAAATGTATGTAGCTTCCATTAACATTGAGAGGAAGTGTTTAGTAGAAGACTAGATCCCCCACCTTTTCATGGAGATCCTGTAGTGAGAGTTTGGCCAACTTTATATCAGAGAAACATCTGATAGACCTATTCTTAGAGAATTACACAGTGAAAGACTGCTTATAAGCATCTTGAAAAGCATCATTTGCCCAACAGGAGAGAAACTTAAGTTGATAATTAAGAATTTTCCCCAAGATTGAAAAGAATCTCTTTTTGTACACCATATGATACATTTACTAGTTAGCTATTTTTATTTCATCAAGAGCCCAATTCAGGAGGGGAGGGATAGCTCAGTGGTTTGAGCATTGGCCTACTAAACCCAGGGTTGTGAGTTCAATCCTTGTGGGAGCCATTTAAGGAACTGGGGTAAAAATCTATCTGGGGATTGGACTACATGACCTCCTGAGGTCCCTTCCAACCTTGATATTCTATGATTAAAAGTCATAACAGAAAACAAATACTGTATTTGGGTAAGCTTGCAATAATTAAACTGTTATTTCATTAGGATGCTATTAGAGGACCGAAGTTTTAGAAAAGTACTGTCAAATAAACGACACCACAAAACTCAAAATAAATGTGAGATTTAATAAAAGAAATAAGTACAAAGTGAACAGAAATAATTGAAAGGCAAAAAACAGTATGAATGACAAAGTGAATGAATGCAACACTTTCTGAGAAGCATGTTAACTTTACAAAAGAGCAGTCCCACAAATGTCTCCATGTTCTTGCCAAATTAAAAACAAAAAAACCCAGTAACCACTTCTGTGTAGAATCTGCTCCATGCACACATAAAAAGTTTATAAAATTAAGAGACATCCAAAATACATTTTAACTTAAAAAGCAGAAACAATACATGGTAATGGGTGTTTAAATGATAGAAAATGGATAACTTTTCCATTAATGCCAACATTTTAGAGATGTATGTTAAAAAAATAACCAGGAAAAATATTCTAATTGGATTGCTCATTTCGGGTATAATTTCTGAAGCAATCTTTATTTTCTTCTAGCCTACAACACAAGAGGTAAATCTTCAGCTTGGAGTGAGATTAGTGTCACATTATATTGATAACTTGTTAAATAAAAAGCAAGTACATAACTAGCTTAATGCACCAAACATTTAAATTTGGTCTCGGGCAAAAATGAAAAATCAAGTACTAACAAAAGAAGAAGCATATATTGACTTCTGTTGGGGGAGAATATTATGGTCTATCAATTCAAGAGGTTAATAATGACCAAGGGAAAGCTGAGGTCAGTATTTAACTAAAAGGACAAGGATGTTTACCACAACATGAAGTCAACGTATATATAATAATAATAATTAATAATTAATATGTCGTTACATACATTCTGAATGTCTTCAGAAATATCTGGAAATCTCTCTTATGGCCATGGATATTAAGCTTTTATTTTTATCATTATTATTATTATTATTATTTTTAACTAACATATTAAGGAAACAATAGTTACAGCTCTAGGAATAAAAGTATTCTGATCGCTGATGAGCCAATCAGGAAGAAAATATTTGCATAGATGATCTTGTTGGCTGCAGCATGAGATCAGGAGAAAACTACTGACTGAAAAGCCAATCGTAATGCATTCATTTGCATGTGTGATCTAATTAGTTAACTTTATTCCAACTCTCAGTACTGTTGGCCTTTGAGAAGGTAAAATAATATAAACCAGAATCTATTGCTTTACTCATGTGATTAGTCCACTGATCTTTATGGAACTTCTCACATGATTAAGAATACCATGATTTTCTACTAATTTGCCACATGACTATTTTCAGCAAATCATGTGCTAGGATTGTCGTGTATGTAACAATATGCTATATTCTTTGAGCATCTATTCTAAAAAACATATTAACCCTCAACATTTGACAGTTATTCTTTACAATATATTTAGTTTAAAGAGGCACAGCCTTAAAATTAAATGGTCAGATCTCAGCAAAGTCCTGAATAAGTGTTAATACTCACTATTAACTCTCTTTCTTTTTAAAATGGCCTGTCTTTAAAAGTACCTGTATAATTTTCATGAGGTTCTTACTTACAAATATCAAGTAATACTGTGACATGATTTTCAATATATTCATATAAAAGGCCAACATCTGTAAGAAAAATATTTCAACACCTGAGCATGTATTAAAAAAGCTGCTTTATCAGGATATGCAAGTTGAAGAACCTCAGTATACAATACAGCTAAATGCTACCTCTGAACAGACCTGCTAAAGGCTCAGATTACAAGGCTATACACCATTATTTAAAAGTCAAATGAGGAATTTGCCAGCACGGTTGTTTAAAGACTAAGAGATCTCTAAAAATGATTAGAAGAAATGAATGCTAAATAAAATGGACATGCTCACAATCAACACCTAATTAGCCAGTGTTTGCTGAAACAGTTAACCAAAACTCTAAAGGCACTAAGTGGGAGCTAGTATCAAATATTTGTTTTCTTTTAGCCCAACTATTTTTAGCGAAGACAAACCATGTCTACATGAAAAAGGTACAATCTACCTAACACACCCATATTCACCAGTTGCCTTGCCTACATCATGGAAAGGGTGGGCCACTGGCCGCTGCCTGAAATAGTAGTGTTGTTCCCTATACAGCCCTGTGGGCTAAACAATGGTTTCCAAATATCAAAACAGTGTTAAAGAGAAAAATTTGTGAGAGGAGGGGACTAATGGGACTTGGGGGTACATAGCCCTGCTTAGGATCAGGCTACTTGTATTCATTACACATCTGTTTATGGGTACATTTTTTACACTGGAAACAATTTATAAGTTCAAGATGAATGATCAAACATCTTGATAGCAAAACACACTGGTTAAGTTACAAGTGGAGTTACAAAAATCTCATTGTTCCACATAATATAACAAACCCTAAGGAAAGGAAAATCTTCCTATTTAAATGTTCCACGTTAGCAATAAAGATAAATCAAAATGTTGTCGTAGGACTTGTATTGCCACTCTCTTTATATTATGCACGGCACAAAGTGTTTAGAGAAATTAGGGTTTTTTTAAAAAAATGACCTGAGAGTAGGTTACTCAGCCTAGAGCACTTAGGCCTTGTTAGGAAATTCCAAGTGTTTTTTTTTTTTCTTCAATTCTAAACTTATTCAAGTTGTGACTTTTGTTAGAAAAATAAAAGTGTGTTCTTCACACTCCTTATAACAAATGTAGAAAAAAAATCAAATCAGGAGTCCCATTAAGCATTAAAAATTAATGTAATCTGTAAAGTAACTATCAATTAGTAACATTATTTCTTATAAAACAATTATGGTCACTTTACAAGTGGATGTTTGCCCATCAGGTCTGAAACAAAACAAGCCTGCTCATTTTCAGGATTAGTTGACTTTGTGTCAGAAAATTTACACAGTATGACATTTACTTCCTTAAAAACTATTCATAAGTCCTGTACAGATAACAATAAATTGTTACACTGTAAACACTGAAGAGGCTCATTTTCTCTTTCACTTTGGTCCACTCACACAATGTTATGACAGAAGTAACACAAGGTAGGAAACTCAAGCAACTTAACACATGAAAGTACAAAGTCCACTCTTGGCCTGTGTGCGATTAACTGAAAGAAACAAAAACATAAACAAAAACAGCATGGATTAATGTTATGGAAATTAAACAAAAGCAAACTCTAGTGAAAACATATACAATGAAGAAGAGAGACCACAGATCTTGCATTTCAGGACTATCTAAATGCGTCCTAAACTAATGGTGGTATTAAAGCATAAGCTGGTTAACAACTGCATTTGTGAAAGCCAACCTCCCTGTTGAAACATTTTATTTGATTATCTGCAATCCTTAATCCCCGATTTCTGATTTTACTAATCAAAGCTATGAAAAAAATTAACTCTATCGAAATTTAAAACCAAATGTCAGATTTAACGAGCCATCTTACAAGCACTTCAGTGAAACAGAATTAGTAAAGCATTTCCGCCAAGGATTTCTACTCTATCTCCCCCATTCTTTCTCCCTGGGCTTACTTATCTCCCGCTCTCAGAGGCCCACAGAACATCTATCTGTTCAAGAACAGGCGGATGGTCCTCTGTTCAGACGCCACTCCTACATCCACCAAATGGGCTGAGGAAGCATCCTTCAGGGCTACCTTTGTGGCATTCTCGGGTCCTGATTTCCCAATGCCTGCAGCTTGGGTAGTCAGTGAGTGTAAAATACTACCATTATGAGTTGGTGGCATTTTACTCTCTCTTTTCACTGGTGTAAATGACTGCACAAGTGCAGAATAACAGAACTGGATCGTCAGCCTTTGCCAGTTAAGAGAGCAGGAATCCAGACTCCGCAAATCCAACCCAGGTCTCTTGTGTGAATGATACTGCTCTGTACAAACTACAGATTCAGCTTTATAGAGTGTCAGCCTGACTGAAGTGTTCCACACACAACCCAACAGCCCAATCAGGAAGAGGCATCAAAACATGTTTTCAGTAGTATCCACCAGAGGTCACTGTTAGCACAGTTAAAAGCTATCAGGATTCCAGCACTTTGCTAGTTGAGCTTTTGGTGAAACATCCCAAATTAAAGACACTGGATAATCAGGAATTTAAACACACAGCTCCCACTAATTCCAATGGGTCTTGAGTGGCTAAATCTCCTAGTCCTCTTGGACAAAGTTTACTTAGATTACTACTAAGCATATTATAACTTGGGCTGGACAGGACACCGTTTTTTCCATTCCAGGAGATCTTGAAATTTTTTCCCATCCCAAATCAGGATGAAAAAAAATCAATCACAAATTTTCATGAACTGAGAAATCAACAAAAAAAAATTTTTTTCTTTGGGTCAATCAAAACATTTCATTTCAAGTTCAACTTTTTCTCTTTTTAAAAAAACCTGTTTAGCATAAATTAAGTTAAATTGTGAAAGGAAAAGTCATTTTGACCCAAAAAAACAAAAAAATTCATTTAAATAATGTCAAAAGGGGATGTTTCAACAATTTCAAAATGTTTTTCCCAACAAGTTTTGACAAATCAGCATTTTTTGGTGAAAAATTGCTGACCAGCTGTAATTATAACATTCCCCATAGGGGCAGAGCTGGGTGGGATGGGTTGAGACAAAAGACTACATAATGCTCTCCCACACTCCCTCCTGTCTCCACACGGATATGCAATAATGGTATTACAAAAAAAGGGATGGAAATACTATTCCAGACAACATATTTAAAAAGTCAGAGCGTTGGCAGGCAATGGGGAATGGAACTTTTTCCAGCTCAAGATTCTTACGTTCTGTACCACGCAATCCTGCTTAAGCAGAAAACATTTTGCTATTCTGTACAAATAGCATTCTGGGACTTGCCCCCATATTTATTGTCTCACAATGACTTCTGTAGCAGGTGTCAAGTTAAAAAAAGGTGATATTTCTCAAAATGCCAAACTGAACCCAGAATCTGAGACTCAAGATAGAATCTTTCTGGTTTTTCAGTCCCGGTTAGTACTAAAGACCCCACAACTGGAACTTATTTAACAAACCGCTCGATGCACAAACCACAAAAGAATCCAGCTCAGTCTCCCACCAGTGCATTCAGAAGTACTTACGTCAGCCAGAATAAATAGTCTGTAATTTTTTCAGTCAGATTCTTACTCTGTTAATCTGTCGTCATTTTTACACAGTCCCATTTCTGACTGTAACCACCTTGTAATGACAAAAAGAACAGGAGTACTTGTGGCACCTTAGAGACTAACAAATTTAGTCTAAGGTACCACAAGTACTCCTGTTCTTTTTGCGGATACAGACTAACACGGCTGCTACTCTGAAACTTGTAATGACAGTGGCAAAACTCAGACTATTCAGTCACGTGCTAATGACGAGGGTGTTTCACATCACATCTCAGATCGACTGTTAAATAATGACGCCTTTGAGATCTATTTCTAAATGGAGAGCTAGATAATGCATCATGGCTGAGATGCGAACCCATCTGGCTTCTGCCTGCCCAGAGTGTGGCCACCAATACTACTGCTGCTGCAATTAGCGCACATCCCAAATTCAAATAAATTAAGTCATAAAGTATATGTAAATGAGCATGTTTGTGTTTTTTTTAAATGAAATATTAAACACTGCAAAATTATTAGAGAGAGAAGCTGAGGCAAATGCCAAGTCACCCAGGATTTAAATGTTTATTTTAAATGCACCCATGAATTTGGGTGCTCGTTAAACAGTAGGCAGGCCTGCAAACTCCCCCTCACAGTTTAATGTACCTCCCTCTTTATCTGCAGCATCCTCTTCTATTGCATTGACTCACACAATCAGGACAAGATGCAACTCAACCTGTTATTCCTGTATCGATACAACTCTTGAGCAGAGGTGGTCAACAAGGCCACATTGTGTACTGCTAAGGATGATTAATTATAACTCCCAGGTACTGAAGGCTATGTCATCAAATCAACACACTAAGCTGTGACGGCCTGAACTACATTTAGTAGCATCCTCCAGTCACAAGATGTACAGCACATTATGCAAAACTCAGAGCTGCAACAAAGGCGGCTATTCAGCCATGGACTATACTCACTATATCCAAGGGCAGAGTATCAAGTCATTCTGGTCTTAAAGATTCTTTATACTGTAAGGGCAGGGCCAGATTCTGATCTCTCTTACGTTCGTTTCAGTTTACACATGTGGAACTGAGGCCAGAATTAGGCCCATTGTCTTTTGTCTAAAAAGCCCCATGACATTATTCAATCATTTTCATGCAAAATCATTGCTGACATTTGAAGGCTTGAAATAAATTTAGCCCAAAGATCTCAGAGATGCACAAGCATGTGGGACTTAATTTGCGCTACATTTGAATGGGCGATCCTTTCGTTATAATATAATATTTTATAATCAGCGCTTGGATTCTAGCTGCCGGTAGGATGTGCACAAAGCACGCAGGACAGAACCAGAATTGGTTTTTACCACACCAGGAAAATGTTAATCCACAGTAAACACATTAAATAATACACCTGATCTTTTTCTTTCCATCGTCAAAATTACCAGTTACTGTTACCACCAGCTTGCTCTTAATCTTATGGAACATAAAGAGAATATTTAAGTTCCTCTGTGCAGGAGAAAACAGCGTAAGATGTTAGAACAGAGGAGAAGTATAGCAGTTTCTAGGGTGACCCCTTTTCCATTTTGTTCCCAATCCTGCACTCATTGAAGACGGACTTCAATGGGAGTAGGAGCAGACCATTTGTTTCACTTGTTTTCTCTTTTCCCCTGTCACTCGCATATATTCTGAAAACTATTATTCTCACTGATGAGCACCTTACTCCAGAAGCACTACCGCTGAACTCAGTGGGAATGCCTAAGAGGCCAGTCACAGAGGTACCAGAGTCTGGCCCATAGGGTAGAAGAAAAATCTTCCTCATATCTAAAGGTCAGTGATTCCAAATAGGCAGGAACAAGACCCAAGGGGCCCTGATGCATTCCTACCTTCCCTTCATTTTTAGGTGCCCCCTTTTTTTTTTTAATCTCTTTACTGTCCAGCAAAGCCAACAGCCCTTCAGCATCCTACAGACACAGCCCCAAACCCTGCAGCTCACAATAATGTTATTGCACTGCCTGAGGCCAGGCCTGAAGGACACTGCACTATTTGGTTGTTCTGGAATCCTCTGGGAAAGAGAGACAACTCATTTCCCTAGGCTAAACAGACTAAGCCAGTCTCTTGAACCGGCCATCGAGGAGGTGGGCATAAATGTCACCTGACTCTCTCATTCTTAACAAGCCTGAAAAGGGACGGGTCCATTTCCTCTCCAGTCGCCAAGGCTTCTATAGGGGGCAGATGTAACCGGACCCTTTCAGGAGGATCGGAAGGATGCTGGCTTAAGATTTAAAATCCCCTTTAATTTACTAGCTTTACAGCTTCATTCGCGTGGTGTTTTATTGTGTTTGTTTCTGTCTAAAACGACCACGTTGTTGAAAGAATAAAATGTTTTGAATGGCTGGAAAAGGTTTAAGTTAAACCGCTTACTTTTTCTTGTCTTTATCCTTCTTCAGTGGCTGCTGCGAAGTAGCTTGCAAGGACTGAGACTGCAGGGTTTCGACTGCTAGTTTCCGCTTGTTGAAGGCATTCATCTCCTCCTCCAGCTCTCTCCTCTTCTCCTCCACCTTCCTCTTCTCTTCCTGATGTATCCTCTTTAAATGCTCAAACTTTTCGTGTAGCTGGTAGAAGACAGACTCCATGAGCATCGCCTCCATGACCGTCTCATGACAATCACAGGCTCTTGCTGCTGTGCAGAGTCCCACTGAGGTCACAGAGCTTCAACACAGGACTGAGGGGCTGAAATTGCCGCTCTCTCTGCAAGACAGGGGCCTAAACTACCTGTTCCTTGCATATTACTAGCCTTTGTATGTAAAGGGCAAGACAACGGGACAAACTCAACATTATCTGTCTCAATCGCTCTCTCTTGCCGCTCATTCTAATGTAGAACAGCAAGAGGGGAAGGAGGTCTTAGGGCCAGGGCACTGGATTAGGACTCAAAAGATCGTGGTTCAGTTCCCAGCTCTACCACAGGCTTCGTCTGGGATCTTAGTCATGATAGTAAGTGCCTGATTTTCACAGCCCCCGTTGGTACCAACCGGAGCTTTGGGTGCCCAGCTCCTCTGAGAAGCCTTAATTTTCAGAAGCATCAAAGTGGCTTAGGAGCCTATGACCTCACTGAGACTTGCGCAATTATTCCCGTTGTACAGAATGGGGAGGAGGGAGGCACAGCGAATAACATTTCCAGAAGAATCTAAGCCCCCACTGACATTCAATGGGACTTACGCTTTTAAGTCACTTAGGGTATGTCTACACAGCATTTTGGAGTGAGCCCCCGCAGCCTGGGTCAACAGGCTCCGGCTAGCCGCGCTTGCACTAGTGTTCTAAAAATAGTTGTACAGACAGCACTGTGCAGCTGCAACTTGAACTGGAGCTTGGGCAATGAAGTCCGCCTACTCCAGCAGTTCTCAGAGTTTTCTATTGGTGACCCCTTTCACACAGCAAGCCTCTGAGTGCGACCCCCCCCTTATAAATCAAAACCACATTTTTAAATATTATAAATACTGGAGGTGAAGCGGGGTTTGCGGGTAGAGGCTGAAAGCTCAGGACCCTCACATAATAACCTCATGACTCCCTGAGCGACCCCCCAGTTTGAGAATCTCTGGCCTACTCCCTAGGTTTCAGAGCCTGAGCTCCCACTCACTCCCGCTTGCTCCAAAATGCTGTGTGGACATACCCTTAGGTAGTTTTCAAAATGTCATCCTCTGTGCCTCCCTCTCTGATCTGTACAGGGGGAATAATTCCCTACCATGCCGGGCTATTGCGGGGATAAATTCATTAACGTTTGTGAGGTATCCAGATCCCACGGTGATGGGGCCCACGTGAGCATCTAGCTAGATACCACTGCGTATATTTGAGACCCATCCTCGGGTGCTGGGATATGCTACTTGGGGAGACTGTTACGTTACTCTGCTCACTGTGTTCAGCTCACAGCTTTCAAGTGCTCACACTTCATCCACATCTGGACCTCAGAGCTGAACGTGTGGTTTGGGCTCATCTCGCAGGTCTCTGATATACCCACCTCTCTTTCCTTCTCTTTCAGTTCTGATTCAGTCTCCTTGACTTTGTTAACAAACATTTGCCTCATTTCTTCCTCTTTCTTCTGCAGTTCACCAAGGAACTCTTTTCTTTTGGTCTCATAGGTTTCTTGAAGGCTAGATAAAAAGCAAATGAGACACTACAGTATTATTCAATAGTGACTAGCAAGGCTATGCCCGTCTAAATTGCTTGAAGGCAGAGGGGACGGAGAAGGGAAAAAAGAGAAAAATATCTCAAGCAGCAGAGAGGTTCAAAATCAATGTTAGCAGGTCTCAGTCTAGTGGCCTGATGTTGCAAGTTCTCTGCCCAAGGGGATTCTAGCTGATGGAAGGTTTGCAGGATCACTACTGGAAATGGATTGGGGAGATGAGGGTCACTCACCTGAATGGCTGGCTGTCAGGATCTGTGTCCTTGAACCCCATCTCCTCCAGCTTGCACCGTCGGTACAGCTCATAGTGGCGGGTGTGGGTCTGTTCCCGAAGATCTTCCATGTTGACTCGAATCAGCATTTCTCGCAGTTTCACAAAGTCACAATGACTTTCATTCTCGACTGATTAAACAGAAGGGAAGAAATTCAGCAAATACGAGGGGGGCGGGGGGGGAGGATTGAGGGGAAGGGAGGATTGCAAGGATAAGGCAGGACGGATTAAACCCAGCGAGATCCTCTCTCAGGGAATGTGTACCTTTGGTGCAACGAGCGAAGCTTTCCAACAGGAGAGCATTGCAGAAGCAGGGCCTTTCCGTTTCAGAAGCATCTGCCTAGGCAGGAGACTGCTCTTTACCAGGGTGCAAGGTTTTAGGGCTAGGACAGCATTTCCAAGAACAAGGGTCATGAGCACAAAAGGAATTAATGGCGGACCTATGAGAGGACCTATGGGACTTGGTGCCTTCCATACACTGATAGCCACGGAAATGGGTGTCATAGAAGGATGATGGGCCATGTGCACAAAGGTGTGTGGGAGCAGTTCTGTCACCAGGACTCTGCCCCACTCAAGGAAAAAAGGAAATAGAACCGGGTTGAAGGGAAATGTATATTTCCTGGATTTTATGTGCCATTCTGAGCTGTTACTTCGACGGCATGGGGCTCAGGTGAAAGAGCCTGCCCAGACTGCCCAGCACGCGTTTTGAGAGGGGCTCCGAAAGGAGGAGCAGCGCTCGAGGGAGGGCACTCGTACTGGTCTAATCATCCCAGCACAGCACTGAGTGAATGCCTCCGAAGCACCTGAACAAGCTTGGGAGAGTTACAGTCCCCCACCTAGACATTCAGCACAGAGCCACCGTTGCTGGGAGGATCACTGGAAGAGAGAGAGAAGCAGAAAGACCCTCAGGAGCAGCTGAAGTTCCCACCCTGCTCTGAGAAGAGCTCCCACACACTGTATAAAGCCAACCCTCCTTCCAAGACTTGAGTTGCATTGGTTACAATAGCTCATCATAAACTTCAGTCTAAGCTTTCACCCTATAATTGGCTGCTCCTAGGGTTTTCCCAGCTGGAACCTCTCTGACCCAGAGCTTAGCTCTCTCTGTTTAGAACCCTGCTCCAGCCTGGTTGGAGCAAAGGGAATGCACCTGCCTGTATGACCCAGCCGTAACCACACTGCACCTTCAGGCAGGGTTCAAGCACCTGATAACTTGATTCAACAAAGGAGCCCTGAATGGTGATACAGAGTCCTCGGGTCTCTTGCCCTGGCCCCCACACTCTGACACGGTGATAGAAGAAAGACGCGCAGGAGAGAGCGTGAGCACACACACACACACGCCAAGGGGCTTCACAGCTCTGAAACGTGCCCGGCTGTTGACTTCCTTACCTTGCACCACCCCCCAAGGGTACTGCCGAGCTCTCACCAGCTTGTTTCCAACTTTCACCTCCTCCGTGCTGCCAACAACAGCAAAGGGCAGATGAGCCTGAAACAGAACCAGCCCAGGGATTCAGTGCACACGCTAGAATCTCTCACCGGCATCAGTCTTACAAAGCTACCATGGGCTTCTTCTAGCCAGGCACAAAATCTGCTTCAAAATCATTTATCTCAAGCACAGCATCTTCGTTACTCAGCGTGAAAACAATCTCCACTCTGAAACGGCACAGGGCACCCTGCGTGCCCACCACCTGCTTGCCATGGAGCCGTGCAGTGCGGCTTGGAGCCAGAGCATGGCACAGCAGGTTCAGGTACCGGCTTTGGCACTGAGTCAGTTAGAGAGAGATTTTATTAATGCCCTGGACAGTTACTTCCAAACTACAGCTGTTCCCAACACATAAAGCATCACTGGCTTCCACGGCTAGCAAGTAGAGGCCCCTCCCTGCTAGATTGTTCTTACTGCTGTAGCATCCCCAATGTGCTAAGCTCTGTCTGCACACAGAGGGTGGGACAATGCCTTCTTTGAAGAACATACAAACAAAGACATTTGTTAGTGGTGATTTGCACAGCAGCTCACATGAAGGCACAGGATGGGGCGTTTGCAGGACACATCACATGCTGGTTTAGTTATTAGAGACATGGTGTCCAAGAGCGAGGGCGGGGGGGGAAAATCACAACACATTTAGGGAACATGGCAGCAAGACGACATCATCAGCTTTGTAAGTGCAGTAAAGGAGGGCATTGGTTGAGAACACAGTGTTCGTTGGACACAGCCCTTACATAGAGAGCTACAGGCACTGTCAGTCGCTCTGTCCCATCCCAAGGCAAATATCAATTAGAGAACATGTGTTACACTCTCACTACTCTCCTCACATCACCGCTTCTCTCCTCTGTCGTGGCACTAATGCTGGAGGTTGGAAAGTCACGCTGCAATAAGTTATGGCAATTACCAGTACAGAATGACCACCCAGCTGATCTTCCCCAAACACCAGCACATGCAGGGTTTTACTGTGACAGATACAAGACTGGTTCGATTACCTGCTGGTCAGCCGGCAAAGCTCTCAATAGTCAATGGGAGCTTTGCTGGAATAAGGAGCACAGAAAACACTAGGAGCTAGGTATTATAGTGGTAACCAGATGCGGGTAGGTATTATGCTCCCCGTTACAGCCAGTATCCAGAGTTCACCACGCTGGTAAACATACTGCAATCTTGGTCTGCTTCCGAGGGATTTCAATGGGGCGGGGCTAACAGAGGTCCTTCATTAATAGGCGGAAGTAGACTCAAAAGTAGAACTCATGGGGAAATGTTCCCTCTTCCTCTCCCCATGAACAATTTTGACAAAAGAAAAATAATTTTAATTTTCATCACCTTTTTTCTGCATTTTTCAGTTTTTTGTCCAAAAAAAAAAAAAAAAAAAAACCAAACCCAAAATATTTCAACCAATGGGGCAAACATTTTTTGTTTTATTGCAAATTTTTGCCCAATTTTTTCAGTTTTTGGTTGCTAGAAACCCCCTCCCCCATTTCCATTTTTGGGGTTTTTTTTGGTGAGAGACCAAAACATTTAATAAAAAATGGAAATTCACTGTGGAAAAAGCCTATTTTGGTTTAAAAACCCCCAAACAAACTATTTCAGATGAAAAATGTCAAACTCCTCTATTCAAAAGCACAATTCAGATTCCAGATAGCCCAATTCATGGAAATTAGCAAGACTCATACTCACTTAAACCAGGGCTGAATTTGGCCTTAAAAAAACCCCAACAACATAGAGTACAATCATCCCTATTTTTATTTTAAATTGGGCTCAATCTATTTGGCTTCCTTGGTTTAGGAGACTCTAAACTAGAACTGGTTGAAATTTTTCACTCAAAGCTTCCCCTCCCCGCCATGAAAAGTGATCTTAAAAAAAAAAAAAAAAGAAGGAGATGAACAATTTCGGCACAAAGTTTCCTGTTTCAAAATCTATTGAGTCTTCAACAAAAAATTAAAACTCAAAAACGTTTCAGTTTTTCTCCTCTCCCTCCAACTCTTCTCCATTTTCTCCTTTTTTCATTTTGCTTCTGAAAAAGGATGGGAAAAAACCCCAAACTTCAAAAACTGAATACTTTTCTGTTTTCTCATCCCTAAAGTCAGAAAATTTCTATTTTTTTCTAAACATTTAAAAAACAAAAACAAAAAATTGCAAAACATATTTCAACTTGATGCAAACCCAGCCTTGAAATATCAGCATGCAATCTATTTTAGAGCAGAACATGGCCTCTCATAAGAGCTGTATGAGATTAAGTAACAGTCACACTTTAATTAAATTCCTGTACAGTGAGGTTTAAAAAAGGCACAAACAAAATAACGTCTCTTCCTCTCTTTAGCAATAGCCTTAGGCCTCTGTCAGATGCACTGCTCATCTTTAAAACAGATCTAGTATCCACACAACCTCCTTGAGGACCCACTTTAAAATGTGTCGTTGTCCAGCGGTTTCCTTTGTTACAATATTCAGAGGAAAGGCAATAAGCAGCATTACTCACATTCATTACGGAGTTGATCTCTGCGACAGCTTCGTCATCCGTGGGGAACTGATAGATCTGCACTCCGTTACTGACCAGCTCACTCATTATCTTTATCTTAAACTTGTGCAGCTCACTCTTGGAAATGGTGTCTGCTTTGGCGATGATGGGGATAATATTCACCTACAGTGGGAGTAGGGGAGAAACCAGGAGAATCATTATAGGGCAGATCTGGGAGCAGCAGCCAATCATTGTCCCTGACTGAGCAGCATATTGATGGATTTAGAGCCGCTATGGCACTGACCCTCAGAATAGCTGTGCCACCTGGACGGCCCCTTTAAATTTCTTAATATGCCACACATGTTACACTTTGAATGTAATAAGACAGGCAGCAGCACCAGTACAGTTAAGCACTGGATGGTGTAGGATGCCACCATCTAACTTATGTTTTCTGCAACAGTAACTTCTAGAGAAGCTAAAGGACAAATGCCCTATGATTAATGTGGACAATGAGTAGATCAAACCCTCTGTAACAAGCAAAAAAAATCAGACAAGACGTTATCTTCAGAGACTCTTTTCCTGGTTTTAGCCTTAGCCCAGTGAGCGCTGGGACAGGACATCGGTAGTTCCTGTAGGTGCAGCCATGATCAATAAAGCTGATACTTTTGCGCTTCACTATTGTCTTGTTTAGGCCATTTCATCCCTGAAATGTTACAGATAGTGTGAAATGAGACAGCGTGATTCAATGGGGGAAGAGCAGAGACTTGCTGTCAGAATCTTTGCAGCAATTTATTTTAACGCTTGTTAAAACTCTCCTTGAGTGCCACACTATGTGTGTGTCCTGCAGATTAAGTGAGCGACTGGGAAATGACACCCAGCTGTGAAGTGCCAGTTTTCTTACGCTTGGCATTACTTAACAGTGTTTTCACATCAGCAGCTCAGACCCAAAACAAACACTGTACAGTTATTTCACTCTGGGTTCTGCAAAGCCATTTCCCCCAGCTACGCTAACCTCCACAGGGAGAGAAAGTCATTCACATTCACTGTGTAGCCCAATCTAGCAAAACCTAGGGCCGTTTTGACATTTCTCAGGCAGGAAGCCATTTCACTATCATCTAATGCTGTGCAGAGCTGGGAAACCTGCTACACAAGGCAGTGTTGGGGTTAGGGTGGAAAGTCCTCTCTTGTCCTCCCTCTGGAGGGTTGGTGAAGGAGAGAGCACTATGGGGGAGGAAGGGGAGTATTGGGGGAAGTGAGAAAACAGGCTTTGCTTTCTCTCTGGGGGACCTGGCACAAGGAAAGGCAGCAAGTTGTGAGTGATTTGTGTAGGGTTACCATACGTCCTCTTTTTCCCGGACATGTCCGG